CTTGTGTAGATGGCATCCCCCCGGGAGCCGCAGGTATCTGTGCGAGCCAGCAGGGTCACTGCGCCGCCATTTTAGATATGGCTCGTGGCCTGGTCTACGTGTTTGCAGTCCTCCAGGGCCCCGGGTGCTTCGAGGTAGCAGAGGCTGCAGAGCGTATAGGGTGTGGGCCGGGATCACCCCCGCCGGCCCAGGGGGGGGGAACAGGGCCCGGTCCGCTCAGCTAAGGGAGTCTGGCCAGACAGCATCGGGCAGGATAGCGGGCGGCGGCCGTCCGTCTCGCTCACCGCCTGAGTAGGCCTCATCCAAAAGGAGCGGTGCGTATCTCTCCGGGGGACTAAAACGTTAGTCGCAAGCCTCTCCCCGGTTCCAGAGTCTCCCATGTGCCGGCCCACCTCTGTAGGTCGTCGGGTAGGGCAAAAAAGTTTTGTGTTATAGATTAATGCTTTGAAAGTTGCTGGAGCTGCTGTGCCATGCGACCGGCCAGCATGGCGGTCAGGCCCCGCCCCCCGGGAGTTTTTTTTTTTAAGAAGAAAAGGGAGAGAGGGGAGAATAAAAGCTCAAAGCATAGAGAAACAAGAAGAAAAGGGAACGGAAGAAGAGTATAAAAAAAAAAAAGGCAAGAGGAAGGGGGAAGAAACCACAGAGTGAAAAATCTATTTTTTTTTCCTCTCAGGCAGAAAAAGACAAACACGACCTAAAATGGTTAACAGAAAACCCTCTGAGAAATATCTAAAAAAAATGACAAGAAAATAACTAAGGAGCAAGACCAGAAAAAGAAGGATGATAAAATTGCAACATCTTTTTCCCCCACAACAACTTACAGAACAAATATAAATAATACTGAAGATTCGTCCCTACAAGAAGAACAGATTCATTTTGAAGAGTTACAGATTGTTACACCTGAAATACAAAGGCATGGAGTAGTCACTCCGCAACATCTAGAGAAAGCACTATCACAACTCTTGCTGAGATTCAAACAAATTCTAAAGGAATCAAAGAAGATATTGCAGAACTTAGCTCCAGAGTTGAAAAGATTGAAGAAGAAAAAAAACAAATTCTGATCTAGAAGATAGATCGAGATGCCTGAATTTACATTTCAGAAATATTACAGAAGATATCCCCCAAGATAGATTGGAAGAATTCCTCATAGAGTGTTTTGAAAATATGGGAATAACATTTGTAAGAAAAGACCAAGTAATAGTGTACACCTTATCTTTAAACCAAAATCGGTCTTGCCTTTGGCTCCAAGAGACGTAATAGCTCTCTTCCATTCTTATAAATATAAAGAAGACATTCTAAGAGCAAATATATTGAACTCAGAAAGAGAAGAAATTTGAAAATTTCCAGATATTCCAAGATCTATCCTTCTATACAAGGCAATTTAGAACATCCTTTGCACCTATTACAAAATCTATGAGTGAGAAGAACATCCCCTATAATTGGGCTTTCCCGCAAGCTTGATAATATTAAAATAATGTAAAAAGGAATTCACAAATAGATTGAATATCCGATTATAGATTCAACTTTTCACTTTCACTTAATCTTTATAAATTACACTAGGAGCTTTCTGACATATAATGCAAATACATATTAAAATATAGGATAAAGAGATGGTCTACCCTAATATATATCAGAACTGAGTAATAAGTTACAAAATATTAAAAAATTGTTTGCTCTAAAGCAAGGAGTGAGATTTTTTTTTTCTCACATCCAAAAGGGGGACAGAGAGAGAAAGTACATTTTTTTTACTCTCACCTTATTTTTCTACTCATGAATCAAAGTAGGTAGACGGTCTGCAAAATAATTGAAGCAGAGGAGATCCAGTGTGTAAATATATATGGAAGCTTCTCAGTTTCTGTTTTTTTTTTTTTGGTATATCTGTGATGATAGATGCATCAGTCCCATGGTTTGGACTCAAGATGAGTATACATAGTGCTTAAACGTCAATGTACAAAAGAGAAGCACAAGTACAAGAGGGGAGGTTTATTCCTTTCCCTTATGTGCTATATATGTTTTGTGTTATCTGTTATAAGGGGGTACATGTGGAAGAGAGCATTTCTCGCTCACATGTATATTACATGTTATATTTTGTTTATTATAAGTGGAAGGTGCCCGTGAGACAGAAGGGAAGCTTGTAAATATACTGATTGTCTGTCACGGCTTACCTTGGTTGGAGTCTGTAGCGCAGATATGTTCGCTCACCCTTGCAGATAAACACGGTCAAAGGTGACAGGTAAGAAGCCAACTGAACTGTGAATCTGTGCATGGGGGCTGTGCAGGAAAGATGCTCCAATATGCAGTATAGACAAGGTCACAAGCAGAAGGATAGTCAGGGGTAAGCCGAAGTCAAAGGAAGCCAGAGGGCAGGATAAACGGAAAATGGAGCCAAGGTCAGAAGCCGGGGTCAATCTGGAGAACAAGAAAACAGGAACTACACACGATGACCAGAGTCAAAGAACTGACAAAGTTTCCAGGACGAGGCAGGTGAAGCAGAGGTAATAGCCACAGAAGACGTCAAGCCCCCAGTGCTGCAGACATAGCAGGGTATAACAAGGATAGAATTACTCAGAATAACAGAATCTGCTGTGGTGTAGAGGCAGTATAGCAGGCGAAGGACCCAGGTTCAAATCCCCTGTATGGCACCTGTGGGGTGACCACGTCTGGCCATCTAGACTTCACGGTGAGAACTGTGACATTGTCATCCAAATATAGTTAAATTGATGACACTAAATGTTTAATGTTAAATACTATTTTTAAAAGAACTATCTTGTCTAAAACTTTAAAAAATAGCAACGAGAAGAATTTATAAAATAAATTAAAATTATACATTTAATTTAACACCACAAGATATTGGTGCTACTTTTGCCTGTTTTTATTGTAGGCTTTATAATATTCCCCATCATATTTCTTTGCTAAATATCTTGAGAATATTAAAGTTACCACCCTTTCTAAAGTCCAGCTGGATTATTTAAATCAATCATTTTCAGTACAAGAAATAAGGAGAGCTAGCCCGGCTGGGTTTACAAATATAATTTTTAAAATATTAGAAGACAAATTGGATTACAGATTGGCACGGATATTCAATTCAATAGGACCAAATCATGACTTTTTTGGTGTAATGATGTGTGCAAATATAATCCCCATCTTCAAAGTAGATAAGGACCCACACAGATTGGTAGTTAACGGCCAATTTCATTCATAAATACTGACTCAAAACTATATGCTTCCATATTAGCAACAAGATTAAAAGAAATAATGACAGACTTGATTAACAAAGGTCAGGTAGGTTTTGCAGCAGGAAGATCATCTAACAGCAACATAAGGCAACTCATTCATATATTGGATTTAACAAAAAGACAGAAATCCCCCATGTTGGTCCTGTTCTTAGATGCAGAGAAAGCCTTTGACTTGGTCAACTGGGGGTTTATGATAGATACTCTAAACAAGTTTGGTTTCTGTAGAAGAATTTTAGATAGGATAAAGGTACTGTATGTGTCTCCAACGGCAAAAATTGTAGGGGCAGGTATATCGTCCCCATGGTTCTCAATCAGAAATGGCACCCGTCAAGGATGTCCTTTGTCTCCCCTCTTATACGTCCTTGCATTAGAGCCTTTTGCTCAATCAATTAGACAACAAAAATATATTAAAGGATGCCCAAAGGATATAAAAAATAAAAAAATATAAATAAGAGCTGTGCTATGTTATTTAATATGACAGTTGAAGAAACGCATTATCTAAAATCAAATTATGATTTTTCATGGATTCAAGAAGAAACTATTTATCTGGGTATAAAAATTACAACAGATCCATACAAACTTCTAGAAAAATGTTTTCCATTTATATTATCTCAAACTGCTATAATGTTACAAATTTGGAGTAATCTAGAAGTTTCCTGGTGGGGGAGATTGAATTTAGTGAAGAGTTATATCCTTCCGAAATGGATATACTTATTTAGATTAGTTCCTTTTTCTTTACCACGATCTTGTTTAAAAGAGATACAAAAAACCTTAGTAAGATATATGTGGGGTGGAAAGAAACCTCGAATAAGCTTCAAAGTTTTACCATGATGCAGCAATGATGTGGCATCTGCTGAAATGGCTTTGAGTAGAGGAGAAACAAGAAATATGGTATAAATGTGAAGTCTTGTTGTTAGGAAAGAAAGACCTAGCTCTTTTATTATCTTCAGCTTTGAATAAAAATGAGATAATTGCATATAAAAACAACCTAATAATCTATAGTATTTTAGGTTTTTGGAGAGAATGGAAAAAAAAGTTAGATATCCAAAGTTTTTTTTTCTTCCCGATAACCTGATAGACAACATTTTGAAAGACAATATCCCAGATTTAGATATTAAAAGATGGAGCCAAAATGGCATATGTAAATATAGACAGATATGGAAAGATGGAAAAGTTAAAGATTTCCCCAAACTCAGGCAATTACTTCCTCCCAAATAGTGACAATTTCACCTCTCTAAGAATAAGAGGCTTTTTACTAAAAGAAAGCAAGAATGCTACTAATATTAAAAAATAAATAGCCCAATTATTAGAAGGAGAACTAACAATTAGAAAAATCATTAAAAAGATCTACTGGAGTTACCCGATGATTATTCAATAAAATCTAAAGCCCTAATTAGCTGGGAGAGAGAGCTTGGACATGAGATAGATATAAACAACTGATTTGGTAGTATGCCATATCATAAATCACATTTTTAATACCATCAATCCTCTACCATCCCACTACCATGTTTTATAATTTTTAATAATTTTTATATTTAATATTTTTTTCAACATATCCTAATTATTATTTCTTTAGTTTTCAGAGTCTGACCGGGAATATATTATAATTGTTTTTATGTAATTTTGCATTCGGTTTATTTTTGTACAAGACTCAGCATCATAGCTTTTTGCACATTTTTTGTGGTTTTTGTTTTTTAATTTTTAATATTTAATTTTTTTTGACATTCTTTATTTAGTTTTGTGGTTTGTCAAGAAATAGCAGTACAAACATTTGTTTCCATAACAGTGTCCCGTTAATGGTCCCTTTTGCCAAATCCCTTCCTATAACTCCCCCCTTCCCGAGGCACGCGCCTGCTATCAGGGCTCCGCTGGCGGCTGACGTCCCACCGGGCGGCAGGGACCGTCCCCCAAGGGCCGTCAGGGGTGTCGTTACTCTCATTCCCCTCCCTCCATTCCGCGCCCCCCATCCCCCAGTCTCGGGCCCCAAGCGGTAGGGTTGTGGATAAATCGGTGGTTAGGCGAGGGTGCGCCTCAGTGCGCTGTTGGGTTGGGGTACCTTGGTTTGAGGCGCGGGCCGCGCTCCCCCCCCTGAGGGGGGTGATGGGTGTGCGGGTCTGGGTGTTATAGCGTCCCTGCGCCATCCTAGAGAGAAAGGGGGCGCCCCTAATTCGTCTGCGTCGCCTGGGTCGTGACCAAGTATAGGGGGTCCATGGGCGGGCCACTCCCCTGGATGGACGGGTCGGGGCCACGCCCAGGCCCTCCGGATCCCTCTGGGGGCTGTCAGGTGTCAGGGACTGGTGGTGTCATGTGGGCTTCCTGCCCCCCAGGGGCCCCCCGGGGCCAGTGCGTGCAGAGCGCGTTCCCTTTTGGGCATCCGTCCAGTCATGTGCATCGAGTGCATCACTCCCTACTCAATCTCACCCTAGCTCCTCACCGTCTATGCGGGCTGAGTTGGTTACGTTGTGTGTGTGGCTCCCTCGATCCCTATCGAATGAAAATCTAGGTTGTGCGGTGTTAGTCTTGTGTGTGTACTGGGTCCTTTATTTTGATTGGGGGGAGTGAGCTGGGTTCCCCCGGGTGCCAGAGCGGGGACGGGGTGTAGAGAAAGAGGGAAAAAAAAAAAAGGGAGGGGGGGGTCCCGCGTCCCATTAACCGTCCCCAGCCTCTCTCCCAGGTCCCTGATGGGTCGGCGCCTCCCGCCCCCGGCCAGCCATATAGGTGATCCAGGGGGTCCAAAGTCGGGTGCAGCGTTCCTGTGTTCCTCGTAGTTCAGCCGTGAGGGTCTCCATCGTGTATATTTCATCTACCTTATCCAGCCATTGGGAGAGCGTGGGAACGTCTGTCGACTTCCATCTGGCGGGGATTAGGCTCTTGGCGGCATTGAGGAAGTGCCGAATTAGAGATTTTTTGTAGCGTGGTATTGGCATTTGCGTGTGGTTGAGTAACATGGGCATAGGTTCCATGGGGATATCTTCTTCTAAGATTTCCATGAGTTTGTCATGGATCTGTTGCCAGTAACCTGTGATCCGAGGGCATGTCCACCAGACATGCAGGTCAGTTCCTTCAGCGGCTGCGCATCGCCAACATGAGTCGTCCGATGTCAGCCCCATGGACCTCAGCCTGGACGGGGTCCTATACCAGCAGGTCAAGACCTTGTAGTTAAGTTCTCTCATTTTAGTACTTAGTATCCCTTGGTGTGTGAGAATGTGGATCTTCTCCCATTGCTGGTCCGTCAGTGCGATCCCCGTTGCCTGTTCCCACTTAGCGTGGAAGTGCGCCGGAGCCCCCTGGTCAACGGCCAATAGCATTGCGTAGAGCGTCGATATTCCACGGGTCAAATGTTCTTCGCTGGAGCAGAAAGTCTCGAATTGCGTGGGGTCCCTATGCAGTAACTGTTTCCCTTGGAGGGCGGCGTGGTAATGCTTAACTTGTTGGTAACGGAATTGGAGTAGGCCTGTGGGCCTGGTTTGTGCTGTCAGATCGGAGTAGGTTTTCATCTCTGTCCGGGTGCACCATGCCCGGAGGCGCTGGGCCTCCCTCCCTCCGAAGCCGTCCACGTCCTGCGGTCGCAGTCCGTCAGCCAGGTCGGGGTTGTGTATAACCGGCGTCAGGGGTGCGGGGTAGGTCGTGAGCTGCAACTTGTAGCGGATATTCGACCATATCCTCAGCGTCGCCCCAATGAAGGGGTGACGTCTGAGTTCCTGGTCGCTCAACGGGGCCCGCGTCCAAACCACCGGCGGGATCCGTCCCCTCGCCCACGTCAGCTCCAGCTGGACCCATTGTTTGTCCGTGACCGACACATGCCAGTCGACGATGCGGGAGAGGTGGGAGGCCTGGTAATATCCCTGGAGAGACGGCAGGCCTGTGCCTCCACGGTGCTTCGGGAGGATGAGTTGCGCTCTCCGCACTCTCGGGGTATATTTAATTTTTAATTTATCATTTTTTATTATTTATTATTATTATTATTTCAATTATTATTTTTTTGATTCATAATTTTTCTATTTTTTATCCATTTTTCGTATTTATGTTCGTTTTTTTCCATTATCATTTTTTATTATTATTTTTATTATATTTTTTCATTTTTAGTCATATAATTATTTATATCCTTCATCTTTTTCTTTTTCTTATTTCTGCAATAAGCTATTATGCTCTGCCTTCCTCTATTATTTTGTATATGTATATGGTTTATCCCCCCCAATGTTTTCCATCACTTAAGTACATCTTATAACATCGTTTGTCCAAGTCCATAACCTGGGTTATGTTCTGTGCGTTCCAACATGTAATGCACGTTACAACAAATGATGTCATCCACACACACGCAACGTCTTTACAGCTGGAAGTCCCCACCTGTAATCCACGGTAAAACGCACGCCGGCCCAGCTGCCGATCATCGTTCTCAATATCTACTGGTATATAAGAAGAGTCTCTTGGAACACCAACATCGATCCCTGAAGAAGTCCCAACGGACGAAACGCATAGGACTTCTTATTTTGCTTTTATACTTTTGGTTTTATTTGTATTCTGCCACCGTGCATGCTTATCTCCAGAGCTTTCTGCTATTCGCTTAAGCCTGGTTATCAAGCTGATTGTGGAGATATGCCTGATTTTATCTGCTATCTTGTAAATGCAATATTGTGCAATAAATTTGTATTTTTTATACTATCTGCACTCTATTTATAATATCCTGAGCCATCAAGAAGATTCCTCTGAAGACCATCTATCTACACTTCCTGACCCTATTTGAAAGGGAGACATGCTTGACTATACATCTATTTAGTGAGTTCTCTACCACCCTCACAATGATATTTATCTTGAACATACTGCATCATATATATTTTTATTTATTTTGCAAAATATCTAATGACTATTTATAAGGTTGTATATTACCTTTACTATTCTCCTTATTGGGTATTCTTTTATATTTATTTCTAGCCCCTTTTTGGTTCCTTTTTTTTGTTTGTACTTTACTCTGAGTGTCTTTAAGGGAACACTTCCTTCCTTAAAGGGTTTATCTGTCATTTAGAGCATACAGTGAATTGCTCGTTTGAATATTCTTATTAGTAAATACTCTATAGAGAACGATTAATAGCCATATCTTGTGAGACCTCAAGGAAGAGATAACTAGCTTCTTTCTTGGCAACTCCTTAGAACTCAGACTCTGTTTATTGTATACATATCCAGTTAGATCACAGCATACAGCAAAATTAACATTGCACAAACATTTTCACCAACAGTAATACAGAACAGGGCACAGGAAAAGAACTACAAAGCTACAAAGTGATTCCGTACAGTAGGTCCCCCCATTCCCCATGTGCCAATACACCATGACAACAAAAGCTTATCTTGATTAGACCCACTGTGCCTTCATAACAATCTCTGGCTACATCAGCACAGCCCTTTGCTGTAGTAGATAGCCTTGCTGGCTCCAACAGCAGGTGGTCACTCACATTCCACATCTGACTATACTTTATGCCTGCATAGAGAGCTGCTGTCCACCCCCTCTGTTGACCCACAACTGCATATATGCAGATACACACACTGCTCTATGTAAAATATAGGTACACAATACATAGATGCCTGTAAGAGAGATACCTGTGTAGATGGAAAACAGTCACAAAAATGAAATGTTACACATGAGTTGCCCCTAAGTCTGGCTTCAATGTATACTAACTGGCTTCTACCATTTGCCTGTATCCACTCTTAGATCATGGGTTGTACAGAGTTACAGAATTTGCTGGCGCTATATAAATAATAAAATAATAATATTAATGGGTTCTTTGATATGCTAATTAGTATTAGCATTAAGATGAACCATTGTCTTCCAGTGTCATATAAAATCATAACCAACAGATGAGAAATCATGTTTTCTTCTGTGCATATTTAGAATGGGGAAAGCACGACCTACAAAAGGAGTATAATTATGGCAGCTTAAGCCTTTTGGATGGAATTGTGAAGCCCATTGCATTAGGTCAGAAGAAGGAAGTATCCAGGCACTCAGGGTATTCAAGCCGCAGGCAGATTTAATGGTAGAAAAAAGAACAGCAATGTTTCAACCTGCCAAGAGGTCTTTGTTGACATGGGTGGCGGTTCGGAGACCGGGACCCCTGAGTGCCTGATGATGATGAAGGGAGTCTCAGCGTGGAAATGGACCATCAGGGCCTCGTGCAGGGTAACCACACGCCCCCTGGTGTTGAGCACCAGTGTTTGTAAGGCCACATACCAGAGCCCTGATGTAGCTACTGTGGATCCCAAGAGATAGAAGCTTGATATGCAGACCTCCCAGGAACTGGATAGGGGGGCTCTGCAGCAGACATGTATCCAGAAACAAGGCAAGACTAGAACAGACACCTAACAAGAAAACAAGACAAGACTAGAGTAGAAGAACCCAGAACTGGAGTAGGACAGAAAGCAGAACCCAGAACATGTACACAAGACATGAGGGAAACATGAACAGGGCAGGACAGGACTGTACATGAACTGGGAATACAAGACAAAATAAAAAAAGACAAGAAATGCAAGGCAAAACAAGAGGAGACATAACTAAGTATTAATATGTGCAATAAACATTGGAAATTTAGACATACATAAATGGCCAAGATGTATTCAGCCCACCACTGCATCAAAGTACTCCAATTACGGTGGGTTCCTATCTGCCTAGATATGTATGACTAAATAAACAATAATAAAACACACACATCACTTACCTACAAGAAATGGGCAGAGGACTTGGAGCAACTGCCTGCAGGAACCAACTGAAACAGAAAGGAATAATGGGAAAAGAACAGGTGTGGCAAAAAACAAACAAACATTTAAAGGAATCCAAGAGACTGAGAATTCCAGGAATGGAATACAGGAATGAACCCAGAAAACCCAGCATAAAGAAAACTAGACATGGAATAGAAAACCTGAAAAACCAAGAAAAACTAAACAAGAATTGTAAAGAGTACTGGATACCAGAAGCCAAGGCCAGACATCTCCGCAGAACAGAGCAAGATGTGACATTTGTCAAGCTTGACTGCCGAAGATTTTCTTTTTGTTGCCTTATGGTTGTTGGATTTCTGGTGCTGTTTCAGTGCACCAAGTGCGG